TTTTGTTTTGATGATTTGTTTTAAAGCAAACGGTCTTACTGAAAATATCTTTAAAAAGAGCATTTCAAACAACACCGAAAATATTCAAATCGATTGAATGGTCCAGGAGATATTAAAATGTAAACATATGAAAACGCATTGGCCTCCCCCTCCCTTATAATGACAGATATGAAAAATATCGCAAAACAAAAGCGATGCGGTATTATTCAAGCTATTAAATGATGTGGTCAAAATTATAGCTCATCTTCTAAGTTTCTGAGATACCGGGAATTTTATGCTTCTCAATGGCAGTTACGCCCCCTAGCGGTCGAATTACGAACTTCAAAATAATTTGCAACTATTTCTCTTGGTCACTTTGCTTATAAGTATTTTTTTCTCAAACCTCTAGGCTTTACCGTTGTCGAAACACAGCCGCTCCGTACCGTTAACGGGACACTGTACATAATTCCGAAGAAAATCCTCTTTCAAATTCCGATATAAAAAATGGGGTGTTCCATTTACAAAAAAACTTCGATGACGTCATAACTCGTTTAAAAATTTAAAATGTACACCTAAAAATTGCAAAAAAAAATTTAAATCTTTAGACCCGTTTCAGCGATTTTTTCATAAATTGTTTATAATAATTTTATCCGAATTTATCCGTTATTTTTGAAACGCACTGTATATCAAAAAAAGTTACATATGTCATAATTAGATTCCGTATTCTTTTTATTTTTACTAAAATTAGCGTATACCATACGATCTCTCCTGCTGAGATATGCTGAACAATAAACTTTACGGATAATTGTTATTCAAAATATTATGCTTCTGCAATAAACCTATCTAATGCTGTTTTCAATTACTTACGTAATCATTAATATTCATCAGTGATTTGCAAGAATTGATACTAAAATATAATAAGCACATCAATCTTCAAAGACCACGCAAGAAAAAATCATAACGGCAGATATACATGACTTTCTTTTTTTTCAGTTTTTTCGAGCAAAGCTTAATTTAATTTTTAATCATTTTCCCAACGTATTCATATATTTCCTACAAATGGTGTTCAAGTGATTCAAGTATCTTAATGTTTTATACGTTATAAGAGTTAATGTAATCGCTAAGGACGACAAGATATAATTCTACGTATGACGTATAACCAAATTAATTAAGGGATCTTAAACCAAATACAATTTTCTGTTTTTATCTTGTTCTATCGTTATCTATCTCTCTATCATCAAATGATTTTCGCAACCGACATTTTAATTAATAAATATAGAACATTAATTCAAATATAAAGACAAGATAAAGAAACCCGGCTGTTAAAACTGGCAAACATGGCTGTTAAAAATGTATTACGTATAATGCATGCATATTGTTGTGAAGATTCCAGCTTGCTATATTTTGTGATAATTTAAAACTTCTGTGACAAACGTTCTTTCACTTAAGATTGACTAAACGAGTTGTAGCATATAAACGACATGCCTACCTGGTGCATCTTGAATAGCAACCAACGCATCATGTGCTCGACGAGGCAGAGGAGCTGTATGAGAGTATTGTGTTGGGACCGGAATTCAAACTGGGCGTATAGTACAACGTTCAGTTTCTAAGCATTTCTGAGCTCTTGCTTGGAAATCTTCACCTGGTGGGCATGGCGGTTGTACTCGGTCTTGTGAGCAACGTCGAGTGTTAGCTGACAGTGCTTTCTCACCCGGATTTTCTCACGTATTAAGTCCTTGATCTCCCGACCAGATATCTTGACCAGATATCTACGTGACATACTTGCAGTTTAGACCTCGCAATAGGACAATTGATTCCGTCTGGGCGAAGACCTTGGTTAGATCGTTGTCCTGATCTTTTGTAGACAAAAACATCAGTGTCTACGATCCAGTAGTGGTCATAATCGCGACATTTGTACCTTCTATAAACCGTAAATTTGGAGTTGGATTTACATAGTACTCAACATAGTAGTCTTTACAAAAAAGATGGAGCAGCATAAATAGGTTTCCGTTAATGAGAATAACATCCAACTGCTGCTACTTCTCCAATTCTATCATATCAGAAATGCTGCCTCCAGATGTTCCAATTCTTTCGATGGCCGGCTATAGCACTAATGATACTTCTCTGGTCGATCGGTATTTTAGCAGCTCTAGTAGAATCTTGATCAGTAGCTCGATGATTATCTTCCAATTAACTGATTAGACCAATCAACGGAAAAAGCTTTTTGAAACTCAGTTTCTTCTTCCGAACAATTGTTATATGTCGGTAGTTCGTCTTTCGAAAGTGCTGGTGGAACTGGCGTTGGGGTTGGTGTTTTCTGGGGCAGTTTGGGAGAACCATGTCTTTTGTTATTAGAAACTGTATGACTATGCTACTATATGACTTCTTGTAGGTGGTGCTGGTGATTCCTTTAGAAAGGGTCTTCTTCTTTGCCGGCGCAGATGTTAGTTTCGGGGGAAGGATTTTTGTTTGGAGTATGGGACTTCGGATTTAGTCGCACGTTTAGGTACAGATGCTTTGGGTTTAACAGACGGAGCAGTTGCTTCGTGCGAGGTGTTTGGCTCGGGATTGGGGGTTAGCTTATTCGCTGATTTGTTGTGCGGGTTGGGTTTGGTTGGGTTGGGTTGTGCGGGTTGAGAAAGTTAGCATTACGAGGACAAATACGCTCTGCATATTCGGCGCATCATGCTATTCCGTGACAATTTTCTGGCCGTGCTCACGGACCTTTCAGCAGTTCATAAAACACAAAAAATTCATTCAAAAGTTAAATTGTCATAAAATGACCAACAATTCACAGGTATAACCGATTTCAACTGTTGAAGGTGCTGAAAAATATTTGGTTTTTTTTATTTTTATTCTTTGATTATAAAGTTGTTCATATTCATTGTTAGTGGAAGAAATAATTTTTCTTGTTCTTTGTGGTAGCTCTTCATACTCACTATCAAAATTTAGTTTAAAAAAAACTTGTTGGCGAGTTGCGGTTGGGTCTCCTGGTTTCCTTCCGGGTCTTATTGAAGAATAAACGAGATTTTTTTTGAAGTTCCTGAAAAACTTGTGATTCACTAGTTTTGCTTCATATGTTTCAGTAGATGTTCTGCTTTCTTCACAAACTCTTAAGTAGTCGCTAGGCAAAAAGATTTTTCTGTTCTTTAGTTTCCTTTCAATGTTGGCATGAACGCTATCACACTCCATTTGTGTGTGTCCTTTAACCAAAAACTTTTGTTCGATAGTCACATTCAGTTCTTCTGATAGACGTAAAAGGGCGTTTGACATAATATTTTTCCGATTTTGATAGGTACACCCATCTGAATAAATGATGATAGGTTTACCATCATTAAGAATTCTTTTTATGTAGTCAAAGATAAATGACACAAACGTTGAAGATTAAAGGTCGGCTTGCGTCTCATCGAACCAATAACAGGTGCTGTGCCTAGCAACTATGTTATAAACTGTAAAATTATGAACACATAACTTAGTTTTGAAATAAACAGAACTGGCATTCAATGAAGGACAAACTTTTACTGCGTGCAGATCCATCGTAATCACATGATGTCTACCCAAAATACCTTGCTCTTTGTCTTTTGCTTTTTCTTCTCTCGCTCTTTCCTTCTCTTCGCAATGCTTTTCCCATTCTTCAACTGATAAATTCTTCTCCTCGTATTGGCAGCAAATGTCACACTTGTCTTTTTTTGGTTGATAGAGACCAATGTTCATTGTTTTCATCATTTTTGTTAAGGAATTTTGACTCATTGCAACCCCATTATTTTCCCTGTAGCTCTCTTTGTACACTGTATATAAGTCAACAATACTAAAAAACGACTGCTCCAAATATAATTTATTCGTGTCTTTTCGGCAATAGTGCGACGGCAACTTGTTAAGGTTTTCTAAAAATGACTTCATGAATTTATTTCTTGGTGCTCGTTCTGATAAAATGCCTCCAACTCTTGGTCTTTCATTCTTTTCGTCATTGATTCCATGTTTACTTTGCTTGACCCAATTACAAACTTGCCATTCTCTTAACCCCAGTGGGGAAAGGAACATTTTTTTTGCATACAGGATAAATGCCATCGTCTATTTTGAGGGAATATTTAAGAGTTTTTGTTTCTCGAAAATTTTCTCCTTCTGATCTTCTTTGCTGAGGTGGTACTTTATTTACTAAATTACACACATATGTTTGTCTCTGACCCCACGATAAATCTTGCCAAAACTTTTTGAAAACTTCTTCACGTTTTAAATCATTAATTTCATTGCATCTTTTCTTCTTGGATTTTCGGCAAAAGTTTGAAATACAAGGTATTCCAACTTTTCTTTCTTCTCTTTCAACGTCCTGAAATGTTTTTGACTGATTAGGTGGCCTTCTGTATCCTAGGTACGCTTTTCCCTTCATCCTCAGATATTGATTTATTTTTTTAGTATTCCTACCGAGTTCGCGTTTTCTTTTAGGGGGACCTTGATTTTGTAGATTGAAAGATTCCAATGTGAGTGATGTGGCTGATTCTGATTCTAGGTTCTCCTCTTCACTGATATGAAAATCTCTGTCCTGACCTACATCGTCGTTTTCACTTTCTGCTTCAGGAACATTGATCTTGGTAGCCACAGTCTCTTGCAAATTATATACAGCGTGCTCTACTTCATTATCTGCACAATTAGCAGGATCCATTGCCTTTAAAGAGCTATCATTCATGTAGAATACGGTTTATTTTAGTTTATTTTTGTAAGACTGGTTTTTGTGTGTGAACACATGTTTGTCTTGTTACATTTCATTTTTATGTTTAGTCGGAATAAAGTATTGGTAGAGAAAGAATTATTTAATTTAGGAATTAAAGAAAATCGCGATTTAAATTTTGTTAGTTGTAATAAAGAACTTATTCAATTACGAAAAGAATTTAAGAACGTTTTTTTGCGATAAATTGGGAACATTTAAAGATGGTACAATATTTTTGAAGTTAAAATCTGAAGATGTTACTCCAAAATTTTTTAGACCTCGACCTTTGCCACTTATTTTAAAAAGAAAAGTTGAAATGGAATTAGATAGATTAGTCAATGAAGGAATACTAGAACCCGTTTCATTTAGTAAGTGGGGAACGCCAATTGTTCCTATTATAAAAGAAGATGGATCAGTGCGCATATGTGGAGATTTTAAGGTGACAATAAATCCATGTTTGGAAATAGAAAGATATCCAATTCCCAGAATTGACGAACTTTTAAATTCAATGCAGGGTAGTGTTATATTTTCCAAAATAGATTTGTCTCAAGCATATCAACAAATATTATTAGAAGAAAATTCCAGAGAATTAACAACAATCTCAACACATAAAGGGTTGTTTAAATACACGAGGTTACCATTCGGTATAACTTCAGCACCGGCTCATTTTCAAAAAGTTATGGAAAGTTTGTTAGAAGGTTTAGATTGTGTAATATGTTTTTACGATGATATTTTGATTGGAGGAAAAAACTTAACTGAACATATTGAAAATTTGAAAGCGGTTTTAAATAAACTTGAAAAAGCAGGATTTAAAATTAGAAATGATAAATGTATATTTTTCGAAAGTGAAATTTGTTATTTGGGTTACAAAATTGATAAAGATGGGTTACATACGACAAAAGAGAAAATAAAAGCAATTCAAGATGCCCCAATTCCTAAGTCGGTAACCGAATTAAAATCATTTTTAGGGCTAGTAAATTATTACGCAAAATTTGTTCCAAATTTGTCAACGATTTTGTACCCTTTGTATCAGTTATTACAAAAGAACGCCAAATGGGTTTGGTCTGATCAGTGTTCTCAAGCTTTTAATCAAGTTAAAGATATTTTAATTTCTGCGTCCGTTTTGGTACATTTCAATCCGGATCTGCCGCTTCAATTAACATGTGACGCTAGTAATTATGGTGTAGGTGCGGTGTTAGCACATATTTTTCCGAATGGGGAAGAAAAACCTATAGCTTTTGCATCAAAAAAGTTAAATAGAGCTGAAATGAGCTATTCGCAAATAGAAAAGGAAGCGTTGGGTATCATATTTGGCGTCAGTAAATTCAATCAGTTTTTATATGGTAATAAATTTACATTAGTTACTGACCATAAACCTTTAGTAACCATTTTTAATCCAAGCAAGGGAATTCCGACCTTTTCCGCTAATCGGCTTAGACGTTGGGCTGTTATTCTTAGTAATTATGATTATAATATAAAATATGTAAAATCAGAGAAGAATATTGCAGATTCGTTATCAAGAATACCAATTAAAGATGATACAAAATTAATTGATAAATGTTCAGTTGACTATATAAATTTTTTTGAAGGTAGTGACATGTCAATAGATTATGAGCATATTAAAAAAGAAACTGGTTTAGATAGAATTTTGAAAGAGTTAAAAAAATTTATTAAATATGGTTGGAATAATAAAGAAATAAATAAAGAGATATTAAGATATTTTAACTTTCGTAATGAATTAACAATAAACTATGGAGTGATTTTGTGGAATAACAAAATTGTGGTTCCATATAAGCTTCGGCGAAAATTATTAGATGAATTACATTCTACTCATATGGGAGCTGCTAAAATGAAAGAAATGGCGCGTAATTATTTTTGGTGGCCTGGATTAAACAGTGATATAGAGAAAAAAGCACACAATTGTGAAAATTGTAGAGCAGTTAAAGATAATCCACCGAAGCATCAACTTCATTTATGGGAATGGCCACGGGAACCTTGGTCTAGATTACATATTGACTATTTTGGTCCTATATATAATAGATATTTTTTGGTAATAGTTGATGCTCACTCAAAATGGATTGAGGTTTTTCCCACTAGAAATACTACAAGTTCATTCACAAATGAAGTATTAAGTAGTTTATTTGCTAGATTTGGAATTCCACATGTAATTGTTTCGGACAACGGTCCACAATTTACATCTAATGAATTCAAATTATTTTTAAATAAAATGCATATTAAGCATATTACGACAGCACCCTATTCACCTGCATCAAATGGCGCTGCTGAAAATGCAGTAAGGACAGTAAAAAACGGTTTACGACGAGCACTTAATGACAAAAATACAAAAAATATATTTTTTGCGTTACAGAACTTTTTATTTGATTATCGCAATACGCCACATGCAACAACTAAAGAGAAACCTTCTGTTCTTATGTTCAAAAGACATATTAATTTCAGATTTAATATAATGAATCCTAAAATCTATAAAAGGAGTAGGAAAAATTATTCAATAAATAATAATGTAATTAAAGGCCAAAGGCGACAACTAAAATATAATAACGGATCTAGGAAATGTAATTTTAGCATAGGACAATATGTATTTGTTAAGGATTATAGAATTCCAATGAAAACTAAGTGGGTTAAGGGTAAAATAATTAAAAGAATTGGAAAATGTGTTTATTTATGTAATGTGTCTGAGGTTGGTAAAGTATGGAAACGCCACGCAAATCAAATAGAAGAATGTAGAAGTGTTGAGAGTTCACTGGCGCCTTTACCTATCACAGACACAAAAGAAAACACTGAAATAATTGAAATTTTTGATTCTCCTGAACAAGTTGCAAGTGTTAATAATAGACCAAAAAGACAAATAAAAGCACCTGAACGACTTGCAAATGAATAGATTTTTTTTTTTAGACGGAGAGAATATTTGTATATGTATATACTAGATTAGTTTAATTTTTTTAGGGGGAGAGATGTAGAATACGGTTTATTTTGGTTTATTTTTGTAAGACTGGTTTTTGTGTGTGAACACATGTTTGTCTTGTTACATTTCATTTTTACGTTTAGTTGGAATAAAGTATTGGTAGAGAAAGAATGTATTTTATTACAAATTTTACAATTGACGTCATCGATAATATTCATCGGCAAATCCATTATATTGAAATCAGCAATTTGATTCTCTTTTTCATGTGAGTCATTGTCAGGACCAATGGTATTTTCTTTGGCAATTTTATTTGGTCTATTTTCATCAATTTGGCACACCAGAAGCATTCTTTTCGATCTTGAAGTCATTATAGTTTATTGTCTTCCTTTAAAAAATCGGCAAATCACTTGAACGGACATACGCCGTGTTAAACTGCTGATTTACGAGCTATTGAATTGATTTTTAACGATTATATTTTAGGTGGTATTGTTTTCGCTCCATTTTCCCGGTAACGGATTTTTCAAAGCTTGCTACCGTTTAATAGATAACGCCTATAATTCTAATGAATTGGAAAACGTTTAAATTTGAGAATAGCAATTTTCGAACTTACGAGGTATTGATTTGAGACCATCGATATGTATAAAAAAATGATATCTACCAAAGGAAATTTTCAATGAAAGTTTACAAAAACTTCATATTTGAATCAATTTATGTGATGTTTTTGAGAGATTGCTTCATTAATAGTTTTGCGCAATAACTTTCCGATGGCAGAAATACATTCTTTGAAAGTTATTAAGAATATCTTACGTAATTAAAAATAGAGGTAAATATTTACCTAATACTTATCAGAAAGATACGAATCATTTATTTCTTAACCCTAGAAAGATAATAATATTGTGATGTACGTAAAAGATGCGTAAAATTGATTCATGAGATTTAATTAGCTTTAATCTCAAGTTTTATTTATTGATTTGAATAAATCAATCTTTATTATGTATTTATATACAGATGAAATAATAAATACCACAATTTCTGCAATTATAATGATTTATATATATAAAAAAAGTAGAAACTTTAAATGCGTTTTAAATTTTATGCAAACTATCTTTCTAGTGATAATAAGATAGTGATTGAAGTGACTTCTTAATCCTAAGAAAAATCATAAACCTGCAGTTTTTTTAATAGTTAAAGAGGTTATAAATAAAACTATTACAAGAAAATATTTGCACTTATTTAATTTATAATTGTTTTTAAATTACTCCACAAAACGTAACGTATGTCTAAAAAATGGATTTTCAACGTCGACACTATGCGATCTTTCATCTTCATCGGATTGTCTGAAAATGAAATGAATTTCTTGATTCGTTGTAATTGAACTTTGATAAAAAAAATTGTATCAACTTACATTTCAAAAATATAATTTCCAGTTCCGACGTATTTCGGTCGATTTTCCGATGGTAATGGTTGTAAATTTGGCTCAAAATGCAATCTTGGTGGATGAGTCGGTGGAATATAATCCAGGAAAGGCCTATCTGTAGCCGGTAAATAAAGTCGATTTAATTTCGGAGGTTGAACTTCCACTTCAGGTTTAGGATAATTATAAGCACTTGATTTATACACTTGATTTGATTCTCCGTATGGCGCCAAATAAGCTAAATTGTCGCTATCGTACGAATTTCGAAAAGATATATCACGAAGACGTCGATTGTTTAATCCAAAAGTTGTCGAAATTGTTATTAAAAGTAAAATCTAAATAAATAATTCAAGATATCAAAATGTATATTAATTTACATTTTATAATTAGATATGTACTTACGAATAATTTCTTCATTTTGTTGTTACTGGTCGAAGATTCGTTTAAACACTAGCCGAAAATTTCATTTGGAATCATTTTATACCTACCGGTTTCTATTTTTCAAGATCCTGTTGGATTAAAATACCCAATTCTTACGTTACCGAAAAAATTCTCACATTCCTAAAGAAGATAACACAAAAATATAGTAATATCAGCGCGTATATAAAAAACAAGAAATGTTTAGAACCTGTTTACGAGATTCATCTCCATGTTTTAAATATTGAGATTCTAGAATCCGCCTACAACTTTTTATTTTCCTTGTCCTAAATTTATTATTAAATTATTTCATAAAAAATAATAAATATAACTGATGGTTATTTAAATATACTGAGAGATATTTCATCGAGATTTATAAAGATTTAAAAATTTATAAGGAGCAATTGAAAGTATGATCTGGCATTTATTAGTTTTGCAAATTAGAGTAGGTGTGACTTTTAAAGACCAAGGAAAAAGATAAAGCACGGTTATAACATTTAGTTCAAATCATCTTTCCCTTTATTGTAATATTGATTTTATAAAAAATAATGTTGTCAGTCAAATGTTCTTTAATTATATATGCTAATAACAAGAAAAACAAAAAATATATGTAATAAAATTCAAGAATTCGGAAAGAATTTTATTTTCGAGGTCAAAGTATTTACAATTCTAAAGAGATAATGAATTTGAAGATTTTTTGCGTGTTTTAAACTAGTGGGGATCCATTTCGTGTGTCGTCATCAACACTCCAATTTTCTTATTATCTGAATGATTTGTATAAATATCAACTTTATTTTGTAAGAATAGTAAGTAAATAATATTTTAAACGATAGGTTGTAAAAAAATAAAAACACATAGAGAAGAATTAGTTATTAATAAATTATATTTTTTGTTTTATTATTACATTTTTTTGGAGCATTACATAGAAATGATACAAACGTAACTTAATACATACATATGTACATTTAAAATCTGATAGATTCAAGTTTATCTTTGTAGATTAAAATTTTTAATGCGGCAAATCAATTTGATAATTAAAATTTGGATTTTCCACTTGATGGTCGCCCGATTTCAACCTAAAAATAAATAAAGAAATGAAAGAATAAATTAATAATAACAGAAAAAATTAAGTTTAATGTTAGTCGCTAATATTCGTCTTTTGTGTTTATCATTCTACTCAGAAGTCTAAATTAGAAACATTGTTTATACAAATTATGTGATCCATGTTGCAAGTTAATGTTATAAAATAAAATACAAAAAGGAGAACTTCTTACTTGCTTAATTTATACATTTTTTAATTGTGGTTTTCCTACTTAATTTAGATTCAGCTGATGATGTATATGATTATTCGAAACCGGTACTGATAAAAATTTTAATAAATTAAGCAAGTAAGAAGTTTTCCTTTTGTTTTTTATTGTTGATACAACTTGGTTGTATAAAGTCACATGTTTATGTTTATCCACAGACGTTCAATTAACATAATTATCATAAAGAATTAAAATTTGGAATAATAATATTTGTCAAACTTGAATAATTGAATGATAGTTTCCAGTAATTCAGTTAATTAAGTTTTATGTAAGAATAAGAAATTTAGAAATTAAGAGATGTTCCCTGCATGAGAGGGCTAAGAAATGGTTAAAAAATTGGCTGGTGAAGGTGTAAGTGGAGATATGAGACAGATATGATAATTTCCCACGGAAAATATATACAGGGTGATTCATAAGTAATGGGCCAAATTGTAAATGTACGTTCAGGAGGCCAAAATAATAATATTTTCATTAACAATAATGGGTCTTAGTCTGCTCCTTACTGAGATACAGGATGTTAAAGCGAAAAAAATAAAATAGATTTTTGTTAATAGATCANCAAAAATCTATTTTATTTTTTTCGCTTTAACATCCTGTATCTCAGTAAGGAGCAGACTAAGACCCATTATTGTTAATGAAAATATTATTATTTTGGCCTCCTGAACGTACATTTACAATTTGGCCCATTACTTATGAATCACCCTGTATAAAGGAAAGCCACAGATACCGGAAGTAAACAAGAGAAACTAAATAGACCATTTGTTAACCTGTAAAACGAGCTAATTCCGTTCAGAACATCAGAGCATACCGAGAAGCGGTCTGTAACTTAGATCGCTAATGTCGGATTCAAAATGTAACAACGAACAGCTCTTGTAATAAAAGTCCATCGACCAAATAACACAAGATGAAATACAGTGAGATTTGAGATTGGAAATGTAAAGTAGGAGAAATTCGACCTTCGGATGACAGATAAATGGTCATGCATAAGACTGCCACTGCACAAGACAATCACTGAAACAGCAAGTTGCGCTGTGAGTATAAAAAATCAAAGTATGAAGATTTGTATGGCGAAGAGTATAGAGAGGCGATCTCAACAAAAAGACAAATAAGACAAAGGTGTTTGCAACAGATTACTAGAACAAATAGAAACAACTATATCCCAAAAAGGTTCACGAGAAATTCAATTTTAACTTGAAAAGCGAAAGGCCAGGGAAAAACAAAACACTGCTTATCTTTTAAATTAGCGTTAGAGATGGAAGAGGAAAAAAAACATCACAATTTGTATGAGAAAATTGGAGAAGAAGAATGCAAGGAAAATATCTCTATAAGAGTTAACACAGATTCGAGTGGAAAAGATTTTGTAGTATATCCTCTTACTATATGGTTCCTGAATATTTATTACGTCAAGTTCCTTGTTCCTCTGCTAGTTGCAAAAGCTCAGACATGACGATTCGGCTTTCTTGTCCGTTTGCCTTGTGCAACCTAGGAACCACCTTAAGGATTGATTTTAAGGTGCGAATGTGGCTTTCTGGTCGGGGAACTTTTTATTCTACCGTCAGTGTGCCATGAGTCATGACAAAATCCCTGCACAACTCTAGAGGAGCTATCTTTTAAAGACTTTTTCAAGCGGTTCCAGTAATTCATTTGTAATGTGGATAGCAACCCACTGTTTAGCTGTATTCTGTCTGCCGCTTCAGACGTGGGGAAAGTTACTGTTTTCGGGAAAAATCAAGGAACGAAGAGTGTAGTGCACATGGGGCGACTGAGCGAATAGAGACAACAAGGAGAGCTGCACATTTTAAACCAGTGGGTCGAAGGGCAAGGGACAGACTGAGAAAATAAGAATGGATGATGTGATGGAAGATTTGGGAAAAATGTTGTAGATGTAGGCGGTTGCGAAATGAGAGGGCACTGAGTGGTGCCGGAAGAAGTAGAAGAAGGAAGAAAGTTTCTTTAGGTGATGTATGGGAGAAAGCATTTAACAGCATAATAACTAACAAATTTAAAGAGATAGATGAGTTTCTTCCACTATATTCCAAAATTTGTAAAAAAAATGTAAATTTGCATCATAAGAAAATAGAGATATTGTAACAGGTGGAATTATCCCTATTCCACCTGTTAATGTTTCGCATGTCACAGCCAATCTGAAAGTACCATCCTACGGAGTGGATGGTGACATGGAAGCACAGCTCAATGCAGAGAATGCATATTTCTGTCCTAATATTGAATCCAAAGAGCAGTTTTTATATCAGCACAAGAATTATAAATCACATCGCTATAACTAAGAAAGGAAGGTGAAAATGAATCATAAATGTTTGTTATCACATTGAATTTTAATTACAGAATTGAACCAAAGCATCAGAAAGGATACTTATATAAATTAGAGAAAGAAGGTGCCAAAACTGAACTATAATAAAAGGCAGGCAGCCCAATAGCCTCACTTAACCAGTTCCCATTAGAATGATTCCTATTTGAATTAGATACTCTTATGTTGATTATATTTATATAAGTACTGTTATAAGAACTCGGTGACATTAGATAAATCTATATATCAAAAAATGGCTTAAAGTGTCCCATAACAAATTGTAACGTAAGCTTGGAAAATCAAGGGGAATAACAACAGTAATTTCACCATAGCCCGTTTTGTAAATACTTTCTCCATAACTTTTCGGTACGCGATACCCATTCTTCTTCTTCAATAGCTCCAAGATCGATATCGGCCATTCCCACAATTCTTGCCTACAAGCCTTTCGATTCATAGCCTCTCTCCTCCAGTTTCTGGACCTGTCCGTCTCGTCCTCCGCTATTGTTCTCAACCTTCCTCTACGACTTGCTCCTTACGTTCTTTTTTAAACAGTTGCTTTTCTACCCTCCATCACCTTGGCCGAATTTGATTGTAAAGTCAGGCACATTGCAATCTCTGGATCTTGATGTACTCTCAGTAGCTGTACAATTCCTGGTTATATATTGTTCTCCATATATTATTCTCATATATAGGGGCCTACAATACTTCCCAGGATCTTCCTCTCAAAGATGTCTTACTATAGTCTTTGAAATTGTTTCATAGATCCGGAACTTCATGTATCCGTAGATTTGATTATATGGGCTTCTGAGTAGAAAGCATTTTAGGAAGCAGTATTATTCACCGTGTTTCCCCTCCCTGTCTAACATCCCTCGCAAGTCATCCTTCGTGTCACCACCCACGACTCTGTCTAACCTAGTCTGGATCATTATTTTCGTTTTCTCTATATTTGTTCACAGAACCACTGGCTTCACCACATCCTTCATTTGTCTGGGTGCCATTGCTGGTTATGTTTAGTATTTTCCATGTTTAAGTTTTTCAAGATAGGTACTCTTTATTTCCTCGACATTAGTATCTTGCTTGTATGATCTCTACAGAGCATGCAACTCATTCTACAAACATCTGTTTATAGATTTCTCCATGTACTTAAGGTAGGCTTTTTTGACGTCTAAATTTGAAGATAGAAATTTGAAATTTGATATTAATTATTAAGCCACCCTACTTGGGCAGGTGGTGATCACGCCAAATAAATTTTTTATTGAACGGTTTGTGAATAACTTGCAAAAATGTTAAAAATGACGAAATTTATGGTTTTATTTTTTACCGATTCTTGTACCATATGATGTGGGAGTCATAGTAAAGTAAATTCACACCAAAAAATTGCAATTTCTTCATTATTTACGACAAAAATTGAGCCGCTCGTTTATTGCCGGTTGAGTAATAAACAAACCGACCAGCTCAGTGGTGTTATGACTTTTCTCTCAACCTAAGAAAACTTTCAACATCTTCATTTTTGATTTATTGCTTAAGCAAATGATATTTCTCTTGTAAATAATATAAAAAATTTTTTGGGTTGTCATGTCAGTAAAGTATTCAAAAACATTGTCTCATACATTTAAGTACTAAACATGCTTTATAGACACACTTTAGAGTTGATTATTAATTTATTGTTGTTTTCGCTTTCATGATCAGGTTGAAAAGTTGGTCACCGGAAATCTTCGCCTTTATTTCACTTTTTATGTTTTGTAAATAATTCTGTGTTATTACACGTTCTTCGCTCGTTAAGGTTTTACCAAATACAAACACTATCTTTCTTAATATGTCAACATTTGTGTGAAGATGCAATAGTGGATGATGACTTTTTTTGATAAGTATGCTTCTTTCTTAATTATTACGGTATTCTTCCGATTATCTTCATATTTAAGCTCAGTCCCAATTAATTGCTGACCAACGTAAAATTCAAAGGGATACAATCTTACATAAATCAACAACTTAATATCAGTTTTGAAAGTAAATAATCTAAACGTTCACAGCAGAGACAAACTGTGCTGATATCTGCTTAAAACTACCTATGCATTTTAAGTCCAAATTTACGGGAGAAAATTAATTCTTCTCTTTTTGATGATATAATTGTTATTGGTAAAGAAATGCTACTGATATATATAAATCTGTACATAATAATACCCATTAAACGACAACAAATTCAACACAAATATTTGTTATACATTTAACGGCAATCTAGTCAGTTCAACAGAAACATGAATTTCTACAGGTAAAAGCTACGAACGTTCTGTTGTTACACAAAGAGTCACCTAAAAGATTAAATGTAAAGGTTAACGCAAACTTTAATATCATATATTTGATATATTAAAATTTATTTTACTATTATAAGTTGTATTGGACGAGACATCTATGAACGAAAAGGTTTGGTGTCAATCTGAATAATTATTTTGGAGGCCATATAACG